GTGTGTGTGTGTGTGTGTGTGTGTGTGTGTATTTGCTATACCTTCTGTCCAGTTATAATGAAAGAGAAGTCTGCTACAAGGCCAAACTCTGTCTCCAAGTGTTCTGGACCACTTCTTCCCCTTCTCAGTGATCTCACTTCTATTGGCTCTATCCTCTCGTATGATGAGTCTCATTCTCCCTCTCTACTGGAAGTGAATCTCAATGTGCTCTGGTATTTACAACCTTAATAAACTTCTGCTGGACCATACCCCTCTCTAATTTTTAAAAAGAACAGTTTCCACTTTCTCAACTTTCCTTTAGCTCTTAGCCTACTGTGATCTGGCTTCTGTCCCACCACTCCGCTAAACAATTACCCATGTCAAAGTATTGTTTTCTCTTAGTAGACGTTTCAGTACTATTTAACATAGAAAATCACTCCCCCTTTCTTGAAATACTTCTACTAACATTATACTCTGATTTGTTTTGAACCCACTTTTCACTTCTCATGTTTTCATTTTCATTCCACATTCTATATTCAACATATAAATATTGGTGATTCTCTTAGCTTAGTTTTGGATTCCCTTTCCTCTCTCCACAATCATTGTGCTCCTGTGGTCTTAAATGCTACTTTCATATTAATAACCAAAAAACCAGAGTGATATTCTTATGCATGTAATTTAATTCATGTCAGTCCTTGGTTTAAAACCATTCAGTGGCTTACTAACATACTTATGAAACACTATGATGCTCTTAGCAAGCCTACAGGACCCTGTATAATTTAGCCCCCATGCTCCTTTTCTTCTTGTATTATTCTCTTGCTTCCTCACTATCATGTAAACACAGTAACCTTTCTTCTTCTCTCCAAATATACCAAACTTATTCCCACTTCAAAAACTCTATAATTATTATTCCCTCTGTCTTGAAAGGCTAGCTGTCCCCCATTCTTTAGATCTTCATCCAAATGTTTCTTTCTCAGAGTGCCTCAGACCATCCCCTAATAACAGGTCCTTATCCAGGCACTGCAATTTACTCTGCTTATTTCTTGACATTGGTCTCAGTTCTGATATGCTCTTGGTAGTCTTATTATATTTTCTATTTCCTGTTCAAATATATGCTGCCTGAAGTTGAGAACTTTCTCTGTTTTGTTCATCATTGTATCCTCAAAGCTTAGAAGAATACCTTACATACAATAGAAAGTAGTTGTCTGCTGAAAGAATGAATAAGTGTACAAGAGAGTGGGAAGCAGCCCACATAATCCTTACTTCAGGCCTAGAGCCTACAGCTAGAGAAAGAGGTATTCATTCAGCTTGTAAACATTTTAAATTCAAGGTGGCAATGATAGAATGGCAGTAGCTCTGACATGAAGGATCCAACATCAAAAATCTGTGACAACTTCTGCATAAGAAGTCTGTAGTGACCATGCCATTTGGAGTTCCATTTCATCAGCTCAGAGTTCTTGTTATCCCAGGAACACAGAAATACCTGTGCAAGTCTTTAAGGGGACAGCTACCCTTGCTGTATAGCTCAGCTTCCCTGCTGGGGTGAGGAACTGGGTCCCTCTTCAGCCTCCTTTGGTATTTTTCCCCAGGGATCAGTAATGGAGAAGTAGTGGACTGGATGGACTCAACTGGGGAGGAAGTGAACCTATGGCAGAAGATGCGACAGTACCCAGGGTCTTGGGCTGAAGGGACTCTGCAACTCCGTTCCTCCATGGCCAAACAGAAACTGAGTATATGAGGCCCTGTCATCCTCTATAGCTCCAGACCTGGCCAGAGCAAATCAGAGGAAGTGAAGAAACCAAGAGCAAAGATTTCTAATTTAAGATGTGTGTTGGATGTTTGTATAAAACATGTATTTCTGCAAGTGTTAGTCTGCTAGCTAGAGATGCAGATTTGTTCCTTTTTATAGAATGGGCTGAAGAATAAAGGTCTCTTGAAAATGTTTCTATTTATGCATCATCTAGTATATTATCAGTTGTGTGTGGAAAGAGTATATATCAGAGGAGAAATCCTTTGCAGTAGAGCCAGATGCTAGCTGTCTTGTAAAACCACTGGACTGATGGTAACTATTAGTGGCTTCTTTTGTATGTGTGGACTGAATGGAGGAATGCTCCTAAATATTTATTTGGTATGCATTGATATTTCAATAGAAAGTAAAACTTGGAATCCTGGGATGTTACTATGTTGCTTTCTCCTTCAAACATGAATGTGTGTTTCAATAAAGCTTTTTCACTTGTCAAATGTTCGCATTTCTTAGATCCATAGGTGCTTTTGTCTTTAATGTCCTGATTTCCTGCTGTTCCTTTTGCATGTAGCTTGAAGGATAAGAACCAGAGTGATAACTAACCATCCTGTGCTAATTTTAAGAAAATTTGTCCTTTGTTGCATTGTTTCTTGAGACTTTTCTGGACCTGATGCTTTGTCCTGTATCTTGGAGTCCAAGGAGAGAGGTAAGAACCCATGTTAAAAGTGGCATCCCTGGGGGCCTGGGAGATGGGGGGGCTGGGGAGATGGCTCAGTGGAATAAGCGCTTCCCTGGCAAGCGCAAGGGCCTGAGTTCAATCCCTGGTTCCGCCAAAAAAAAAAAAAAGTGGCATTGCTGTTCTCTCTCAGGTACCAGGGGAAGTTTGCCTTTATGTTTTTAGACCCTCCATTACTGGAGAGAGGCAGGTCATATTCACAAAGAAGGTAAGGAAAGACGTTCCTTACTGTAAGCAGTTCCTTTTAGATTCATTGATTTTTCTGGGAAGTGGGGACTTTTCCCTCTAGTTCTACCATTATTTAGTATTGAGAGATACCACAGGTGCGGAGTAACTGTTCCTTGAACTAGGGCTCTGAGTTTCTAGATAGTGCCAAGAAGATTCTTCACCTCTTGTTAAAAATGGCATTACTATATACTAAATGCCTATTTTGTACAAGGCTTTATATTTTATTTCATCAATCTCTCCAGCTACCTTGTGAAGTTGGAAAATTTTCTTTCTTACAAATGAAGAGACATGCCTATTACCACATAACACAATTTGTATTTGAATCAAGATCTGATTCTACTGAATCATGCTGCCTCCTGTGAGAATGATAATGTGTCTTCTGAGCAAAGAGTCAAAGGAAGGTGTGACGAATCTCTTCCTAAATATCTTAGAGAAATGGGTTTAGCTTATCAAGTAGGACAATCAAAAGTCTTTGGCTAGTTTAGCTTAGTGACTGCATAACCTGAGTTCATGAGGGCAGGTATAAGAGAGGAAGGAGTAGATGGCGCGAAGTGAAGGGAGGTGAAAGGAGGAAGGCAAGAAAGAATGAAAAAGAGAGTTGGGGCCAGAGGGGTTCACAAACAGAAGAATCAAGATATAGAGAGAGCCTGGGTCAAGTTGGCCCTTTTGGGTCAGGCTATAGGCCCAGTTCTATGTCTTTCTCCTCCTTTAGGAGTTGGGATTTTTTTTTGAGCCATAATTTACAAAGGAGGTTATAATAAAACTTGCCTTGAGTGTGGTAATAACAATAAATTTCTCTTCTGGAGAGTTAACAACCTAATTTTGCAGACCAAAATTAGAGAAAAAAGAGGGACACAAGGAAAGCCAACATTTTGGTCCTAGCCTTCCAAGGTCACTTAAGACTAAGGACATATGAGAACTTGTACTGTTACGTCATGTAACTCGGTAGTGTCCCAAATTTTCTGATCAAGGAGATTATGGGGCCAAAGAGGAAAGTGATCAATGATGTAGAGTGTGCCTAACGAGAGTTACATGGGGAGAAGACACTCTCTCAGGCTTTCACAGAGAGCACATTGGCCAAGCAATGGCCATGATTCATCCACATGGCTGCACTGACAAAGGTTCTACAATGTGAGGTACAGGATCTCAAGATAAATCCTGAGGGCATTTCACTGACCTTATCAGACCCAAAAGCTACAACTCTTGTTGCATAGGTCTTGCTTTATCTTGGTCTTAACCATCCAGCAGAAAAGTATAAAACAAAGTATAAGAACTAAAGCCATGGTGTTATGTTGAGCTGTAGGGGACTCATGTCAACAATTTCTGACATTGCCTGTGAAGCAGAAGACCCAATACTATTATGGACTATTGGACTCTTAGAATATTTTGCTGAGTTTACATACCTATAATATTCAAATAACAGAACTAAACAAAAAAAGGGGATACAGATGAATGTCCATTTTGTATCTGTGTATTCAAAATGGTTAGGATACATATATAGTTACATTCTCTTAATGAATAGAGGGATTTGTTCTAATAGTGTTTGTAAATAGGATATCATGTCTGCATCTTATACAGCAATTAACCACTAGGAAGAATGTATGCAATGTGTTAATTATTGAAACTGTCTTACCAATTTGGTTTGAAAACTGTCTCATTGCTATTTGTTTCTCAATAAAATTATGAGAAAAAAAATTTTTAAAAAACCAGATAGATGATAGATAGATAGATTATATGCCATTTGTTGGAAAATGGATCTTGATACCATAATACTAAATGAAAGAAGTTAGTCATAACCCAGCAAGTGCAAAGACCCAAGTTTGAACCCTGGTACCTCATGCCATGCCATTCCTAGAACCCTGAGGATACCATGCCAGCCACCAAAACTGGCATGGTGGCATATATCTGTTACCCCAGTGCTAGGGAGGCTGAGATAGGAGCATCACTACGAGTCTGAACTGCGTAGCAAGACCCTATTTCAAATAAATAAATAAAATCTCAAAAGAAATGTAAAAAATATTGTTCATTATATATGCAGATGTAGAAAGATTACAAAAATGGAAGGAAATATATCTAAACTCTAGAACATCAAAAAAACTTGCCTTGACTACTTAAAAATAAGCTCTTCAGTTGTTTTTAAAGTTGAGAAGCATTTATATGCAAGAGTGAGGCCCAGGTTGGTAACTTTGTCCAGGGAGAAGTAGGCCCCTCTGTTACTTCTTGGGCCTTTGGCCTGCTACCACTTGAATTGCTAGCGATAAAGAAAAGGAAGAACATTTCTCTTTCTCACTAGGCAATCTTTGGTTTTGGAACCACAGATCTTAGCTGACCAAAAATTTCATACATGAACTCATTGTATTTTTCCTTTTGCCCATAACTTGCCTTTGGTATTTCAAATTTCCTGTACTTCTCTGGAAGGAAGGGACCTTGCTCCTTCAAGTTAAGTCATTTCTTTCATGTCCCATTTTGGGCATCAACTGGCTTTTTCTTTTGCATTTAAAAGAACTGAGATTTCTAGCCAGGCGTGATAGCACATGCCTGTAATCCCAGCAGTTGGGAGGCTGAGTCAGGAGGGTTGCCATGAGTTTGAACCCAGCCTGGGCTACAAGGTCAGCCTGATCTACATAGGGAGACCATGCAGAGGTTTCCTTTAAAACTCCAGTGGATGGGGCTGGAGAGATGGCTCAGTGGTCTAAAGCACCTACTTAGAACAAGCTTGGCAAAGTACAGGGACCACGGTT